CACTTCGCTCATTCATTTGGAGTCTAAAGGGCGGTTCCAACAGCGTGCATGATTACCAGCTTTATACCTGGGAGCATTATTTTTTATCGGGAAACTTTAGATCCTTCACTAGACTTCACTTTTCAATTATTTAAGGTAATCGTTTACGTAATTTTAGATCTGAAATTTCTGTGTCACTTCAGTGAGACACAATGCTCATTCACTTGAGCGCTTTGCCTTTACAGATCAAAAAAATCGGTGCGCTGTACATTACTTCCCAAGTGTCAAACTTGCAACAAGGGAGTAAGCATCACGCCATGACAGTAAGACAGTAATTCATTACCTATGTATTCTGCTGTTGCTCGTTGTTGAATGTATTGCTATCTTTTTAACGAAGACGGATGTGTATTTCTGATGAGAAAATATTAAACCTTATTTATAATAACTTCGAATTTCTCGAACCATTTAATTGCCCAGACTAATTCCCTAAAACTTATTGCTGGAAAATGCGGAATAAATTCATCTTTTATACCTCCTTTTCAAGTCGAACCACAATAATCCCTTCACATTATTATTAATGATATAACGACTAATAACCGCCTTGAGAAATGTTGTTAGCTAAAAGGATAACGACAAATAAATGAACGCTATACAAATAAATAACGAGACTTATTGAAAACGTCCTTATTGGTAAAAGATTCTAATGAAAAATAATGAAGACGAGTTATTTAATAAAATCCCTCAGAAATGATTCTTTATTGTGGTATTACCGTTTCTCCAGTATTCTTTCCTAAAAAAGGAATGTTTATCGAAATTATTAATTAGACATGGTGAAATGGGCAAATTTAAATTTAATTTCATCGCTAAAAATATCTTAATTAAAATTTTAGCGAGTTTCAAGTATTTTTATTCAAAGTTAATTAAACGTTGATCATGATCATCAAATATTTTTGTGTTATACATTATTCTTGGGGACATTGTTGATTAAATTAATATATTTGTCAAAGCAAATTTTCGCCCTCCCCAATACTAAATCTACATGTTATTTTTACATACGCACAAATTCCTTTTGCAGGTTACGTGCTAGGAATCGCAGTCAGTCTCGATGCCGTAATTTTCAAGTTTGTGAAAGTTCTTACCTGAAACAAAGGAATTATTAATCATTATGAAAGGATAAATTTGAAAATTAATGCAATATAGATAACCATAAGAAACTTGGCTTTGCTGGAGACTACACTCGTTATTAAGTTAATACAGGAATGTGATTGATAGCTGAAGTATCAAGAGAAAACTGTGCTATAATTGCCACAGGATGAAGGAGGGATTAGGAAGTGGATCATTTGTTGATCAATAATTATATTTTGAACGTTTTTAAGGGTGTAAACGTCCTCTTCGTTATCTATATATTGATTGGAGGAAATAACACAGCATTGCTGTCCGTTGTAAATGGTCCCAAGTAAAAGCAGTTACCCAATCACTTCGCCCGTCTGTTGTTGGCACGACATCGACAAGAGTTAGATCTAACGAGGAGCATTAAACCAGGATCGGATGTAGATGTGGATTTTTCGGGAAAGTGTTGCGTATGTCAGTCTAGTCTTGGTTTCCCTTATTAACTTTTTAAAGGGTAGCAACTTCCGAGTTGAGGATTGTCACATCAAGGACGTCATGTTGATTCCACCCGTGTCTCACTACCCACGCCATTTTCTTTCTTAAAGCAAACAGAAATGATTATTTATTCAGCATGTATGTTGAAAATGTAACATTGACCCATGTGAAGTGATCATTGTTACTAAATTATGTTCGTCCGCACTATGACGTCAACCACAACGATATGCTGCTGTCCAGAAAGGAAACGGTGACGTTGAGAAAATAGCTGATACTTTCAATACTTTTAACTCATAGTTATGGCGCTTTAACCTCATGCGATTTCACACGTGTATCGATTTACGCAGTGCGAAATTAGAACTTAATTTTTAGATTGTGAAATAGTCGAATCATCGCGAAAATCAATATACGCTATCTGACGCATGTTATGATTAAATACTTTTCAATTTTCATGGGTTTTAAATCGTTCGTTGCATGGTGCTTTACATACTACTGAACTTTAATTACCATCAATCTAATCTACATCATATATAAAATAGATAATATAAAATCAGATTTGTCCCCCAAAAATTAAGTTTGAAAGGAAACGAATTTTTAGACACCGTTACATATTGAACGTGCCCCTTCTTTAACAGCGTCAATTTTTCGTAAATGTAAAGAATCGAAGATTGCTTAATGGAAATAGGCATAACCACAGGTATTTATTATATTATATATTTTTTTATAACACTGACATTTTAAACCGATTCATTTAAACTCGTTTCTTAAATTATCTCAAATTATCGTCAATGGGAACGTCATAAGTACCTAAAGTACGCTGCTTAACTTTTCGTAGATAATATTATTGATTCTATTACCATGGTTTTACACACGCCAATCTTGAGAAACATTTTTCTCTCATGATAAAATATTAATAATAGACGAATTCGGATGAAATATGCTTGTGTTATAAAAATCTTACAGATAACACGTTCGGTCGCTCGGCTTTAAATGCGCATCGTCCTTTAAAGTAGCTATAACACACCTAGTTATATGTTTACTTAAGTACTAACGACGCAAAATAATTGATTCTTATTTAAGCATTCTTAGAGACTTGCGGACTGATATTCTGTTTTGGGCAGCTGTGGATTGCTACCCAGTGGACAATAATGCATGTGGTAGATATATTACATACCGAAATGGTTTAATTCACTCTAAAATTTACTCCCCTTTAACCTGATCTTACAAAAGCTTCCATAGACAACCGTACAATCCTGCTCGATCGGAAATATCTCGCATATCATTAGCAAATTTTCTTAAAAATAGCATCACAATAACAACTTCCTACTGATTGGGGTCTTATTAAACAATAAACGACACAAGCTTTCAAATATTTGAAGAGTTTTTTCCAAAGCTTTCGGACGCGAAAATTAAAAATCGTTATCTTCCTTAAATAAAAAAATAATGGACAATATTTCCCCCCGACTTAGCAATGAGGAGAAACTAAAGAGCTGAAAGTTATGACGAGCTGATTACTGACATAATTACGAATTTTTGTATCATCCGACGTATTGTCTCTAAAATGCACATGTTACACTCTCAGGAAGATGAAGGGGAACGCTACCATCAAGCCATATTGGAATTTAAGAGACGTTACCAAGACCAGTACATTGAAAGCATGATGTAATTATATTTGGGGGTTAATAAGAGAAACGTCTGTTGAAATTAACAGGAAAAGCAAACATTAGAAAAAATAAATCATAATTGGACGTTTGTTATTGATAAGTCATTTCTATTTACAAATGTTATGTATTTTTGTGTTATTTGTTTTTTATGCATTTTTTTTATACAAAATCAAATACAGCACTATTATATTGCTTTTTTCTTATTCTTACTTCTAGCTAATAAAAGCAATAAAAATAAAGTATACACTGTCTAAGATAAAGATCAGAATAGGTTGTCCAGAGAGAATCGATGTCCGAGGAAAAGGAACACAAACCAAAATTTCAGGCTCAGAAGTCTAGCACCCCTACGACCAACATGATCTTGACACCGTACTCTTACTTCAAGAAGCAAGAGGATGGATGGTACCCTTTTATCACACGTATTTACATCGGGATTGTATTTATCATATAAACCCTGCGCTCCGGGACTACCCTCCCGAAACCCCACCGGTCTCAGAACCACGCGTATCGCTTTTCGAGGCCCGTAACCCAACCTTGTGGAATAGTCACTCCAGCCCTTCCCACCGTTTCTGAAGGCTACCTCTTCAGGAACCCCTCTCCGGTGAACGGAAGCAGACCGGCTCGGAATCGAGCTTATTCCTTACATACCCGGATCATCAAACTAGCTAAGACACTTCTCGTAGCAGAGTTTCAGCCAGTACCCGACTACACTTTCACCTACGACATAGCTAGGAAGCAACGGTTGCCAATTTGCAGACAACGTGGATCCCGAAAACCATAAACGATACTAAGATGGTCAAATTAGGGAACAGTTACATACAGATTCTAATTGAGACCTTAAAATATTTGGAATGGCACACTTTGCTTAAAACAAATGCAAATGGGTTGCGTTGCGTGTGACTGTGCGTTATACACAAAACAAAAAAAAATTATCCATGAATTCCACGCAGTTTTTTTTTAAAATAATGTATTGCCATCTCTTGCAGTGCATTATGAGAGTTATTTTGCGACATTTAGCTTGCGTTAATGCCGTAATTAAATGTCCCTCCATATAGTGCGGCGGCAGACTCCAGAAAAGGCGCTTAGTTTTCGAGGTACCTAATCAAGTGGTACAACCACATGTGTCATATATCAAATTACGCGGAATAAAAAAAACTATTAGAGCCATATAGTTTAGACGTCGGCAGATATTTACACAAAACCTCCAAAATATTATCAGTTTTGTCTGACTTCTCACCCAGCAAAAGTGTATTTTTCTGAAGATGTGTTTACTTTGAAAGATAGAAAATTTCATAAGCTTTCCATTGATATACAATAATCTGCAAAATTGTATAACCAATATGTGAAAAAAAATAAAATCTGAAAAATTGACTCATCGCGCGCGCTTTCTTTCAACTTTGCCGTCTTGCGGTATGGATGCAGGAGGATATATGAAAAATCGGTACACGTGTAGGTCTGGGAAATTTAATCCACTACAATTTGGGTTTTTATCGTTTGCACTTATTTATTACAATAATCGGGCTACAGCGCATAATTTGACGGTTCGACACCTTCCGGCTCGTGCATTTCCCGCTTCAATTGCGCCGCGTATCTTTCATCTTCCGACCTACTACACCGTTATCATGGTTAGTGTTTACAAATTACAAGAAAGGTTTTAAATTATTTCTTTCAGATATTTGGAGAAAGGACATTTTGTAGTGAAACAATCGACTGATAAGAAGTTCAATGCTGTTGCGAGTGATATGGCCTTAGAACAAACCATAAATAGAGACTGTAAAACCGCTGGTGGTGTCCTAGGTTTTACTCAAGAAGAACACACCCTCACTAGATGGATTGTCAGTCGTCACATACTAGGAGATTATTGCTCTAAATTCCAACATGTGGTAGATGATACGTGTGAACAGAAGGAGTATCACTTCAGCGAAAGTAGGAACAACCGTGATGAAAGTGATGTGAATAAAATACTCGGAGCATTTGAAGATACGTGGGTTAATCCCTTTAATTTTAATGGTACCCCTGAATTATTTCACATCGCATCTGGTAAGATAGCATCAGAGAACATAAGACGATCCCTGAACAGTTTTATGGCAACTGCGAAGAAATACATGGATAATTATATCGCAAATACTTTAACAGACGAAGGGAACAATAGCTTCTGGGCGTCACATAAGAAATACAAAGTTCAAACATTTAAAGAATCCAATATCCCTCTGAAAACGCAACCAAATAAATCAAAGAGACTATTATCACCTGAATTCATGTTTCGTCGAATCATATCTGCTGCCAAATTTCAAAACTTGGATTTTTCGAACTTACTGAAGTACGAACTAACGCTAGTTCCATCTTCGCTTTTCTTCGAGGATGGTTCATTACGGAAGTCGCCAAAATCTGAACTAGCTAAGAGACTTAAAAGTTATTGCGACATATCAAGAGACATCCCTGCCAAATTTAACTCGTATATAGTCGACGCAATGGTTTTGATTCAGGAAATAAGTAAAAAACATATTAATACCTATGCAGACATTGGCGACTGCATCTTCAAAAAACTGCTAACAGTATTCGACAGTAATGAAAACTGCAATCAGATACTGCTCATATTCGATCGGTATAATATTCCGAATTCCATAAAACAATATGAAAGGCAGAGAAGAGGGCAGTCTTTTGCCAGCACGTTTTCCATAATTAGTGAACAGGTTAAGGTGACTGACTACAGTAAATTTTTGTAGTCTACAGGAAATAAGGTGGCATTAATAAAATTTTTATCTCTTTATATCGAAAAACAATCAAAATTACATTTAACCGTCACTCAAAGCATCATATTGTCGGGCGGATATGAAAATGGAGAAGCATGCCACTTGATAACGCGAGATGGAGTATCTGAAGTTAAAGACTTGAGATGTAATCATGAAGAGGCAGACACAAAAATAATTCCATTCATCCTTCATCGTATGAAAGAATAAGACGATATCATACTGATTAAGGCTGACGATACCGACATATTGATATTAGTGCTATACTACTTTTGGACCGCCAACATGCAATCTATCAAAGTATATATCAAGTCCGGCCACACTACAACAAGCACCAACAATAATATGCATGTCATTCCAATACACGAGCTAGCTGTGAAATTAGGAAAAGATGTTTGCCAATGTCTACCAGCGCTGCATTCGATCACAGGTTGTGACACAACTAGCTCGTTTTTTAAAATAGGAAAGGTAGCCCCACTGAGGTTGCTTATGAACAAGTGCACTGATTTTCAGTTAGATCAGTTTGCAAGAGTATCTATGGAAGAGTCTTTATCTATAGCCAGGCGATTCACTTGTAAATTATATGGGCAAGGGAACGAACAAAGTTTGGATGTGTTGCGACATAAATTAACGACGACAACTAAAAAATCAGTAAACGAATTACCTCCAACGGAAGATGCATTTTTTCACCATGTATCAAGGTCCTATACTTTCTTAAATATTAATTACACATTGCTTATATTCTTCCGAAATTTAGGTGTTTCCTGCAATGCAGAAAGTGGATAAAATGCCAAGATTTGCAAATGGAAGACTTGGACCCGTTCAATTTTGGGTGGAAACTCAATGAAGAGAAAATTGAACCCATTCTGTCCACGCAAGATGCTATTCCACCTAATGTTCGGAATATCATTGAGCTATTCTGTACAGACTCTTCGTGCAATTCAGTGAAGTGTGTATGTACAAAGGAAGGACTAATTTGCATTAGCGAGTGTAAGTGCAAGGGCACTTGTAAAAACGTACGTACTCATCCCAATGCCGAAGATGATGAAGAATTGCATTATGGTAAGAGATAAGTGCAAACAGTAAAAACCTAAAATACAAAGAATGAAATTTTCTAGGCCTTCACGTGTAGCGATTTGCCATACATTCTTCTGTATCCACACCCCAAGATGCCAAACTCGAAAAAATCGCTCTAGATGCGTGATGTTTTTCATATTCTATTTTTTGGTGTCATTAGATATAACATTTTTTCAGATTATTATATACCATTGGAAAGCATATAACATTATCTATCCTCTAGTATAAGCACAGTTTTATAAAAATAAATTTTCGCGGAGTGAGAAATCCGATAAAACTGATACATTTTTTGAGGTTTTTTGTGAATAACTTTTAGCTCGACCAATTGCCGACGTCTATACTATATGCATCTGATATATCTTTTTATTCCGCGTAATCTGATATATAACACATGTGGTTGTACCACTTGATTGGGTATATGAACGATTTTGAGGCTCTGCCGCCGCACTAATATTGTTAAACTCATCTAAGATTATTACATCCTTTTATCAATTCCTCAAGTAGCATACAACAACATTTTGCTATGTAAACCAGGGCGTTGTAATTGTTCTTTTTTGTAAGTTGACGTATAAGTTAAGCAACATGTGGGTAATGAATGTATTGCCTCTTTACGAATAGTATTTTACATTATTAGCCAGGTAAGTGAGTTTTTACTGGCGATAGGAGAAGTTGACTAGCGAGCCGTTAGGCGAGCTTGTCATCTCCTAGAGCCAGTAAAAACTATTACCTGGCGTATAATGTACAATACTCATTTGTAAACAATAGTAAACGTAAATAATTAGTTCTTAAATTAATCTTGAAGAAATGTCTAAAATATCATGTTATCCATGTAACAGAGACTTCGCATTAATTCTGGCCAATGAAATTACTAGATTACTAACTTGTAAAATTTTTACAGGTCTGCTGTCAGTTTTACAGGTCTGCTGTCAGTTTTACAAGTCAGTAGCGTTTAAAGACGACGTTTACCCGTTTGCGTTTTGTCTTGTTAATCAACGTTTACAACTGAGTAACAAATAAAATTAGTTACAGATGCTTGATAGGGGGACTTGATCATTGTAAAATTTAATTGATTAAGATAAGCGATTGTGTGACTTTTAGAGATAAGGAAAATCTTTGTAAACAAGTGCTCGCTTTTCGCCGAAGATAACAAACGCTATGGATGTGGTGAGAACTTACAAAGGCGCACCGATCTAACGAGGCGGTTTCGGGTCATTTGATTTAGCATACGTACGTCCAGTTGCGTGTAAATTTTCAAATACAATTTTTCCGGCGGTCGGCCGGTGTTTGGAAGTTTTTCTCTTTTCTTCAGTTAAAATTGCAGAGGAGTTATTCGATTGCTGTACACTCAGTGGGCACGCGTGCATTTATATGTTATAGAAGAGGAATTTTCGTCAATGTGAAAGTTTGTATCCGAGCTGCCATTTGCAAATATGTCAATTGTCATGGAAGTAGTGCTGATGATGTAAGAAATGAAAGAAGAAGTTTGTGTACACGGTTGTGCTTTTACGTTAAAATACTTATGTGAAAAGTGTGTTGTTTTCGTCGCTTATCGCATCTGTGCAGGCGTTTCAAACTAAAAAAACATGATAACAAAGTAGCGAGTAGTTTTGAGACTAATTTTTTCCTGTATGGCAACCGGAAAATGTAATAAGGCGCTCTTAGCCTTCAGTTTATTTGTTTGCTTTGTAGAAATGTTTATTTTGTTTTTATATGTCTTTGTGTTATTCTTATTATAATGTGTGTATAACGAAAATTTATGTTATGCGATCTCGGAAAATTATGTGTCAATTTGCAATCTAGAAAAAGTAAAGAAAAACCAGATAGTTTGTTTTTATTATTCTTCACTGAACATTTCTCTTGTGTCGGGTTAATCGTTGGTCAAAATTTCATATGAATCACCAAAACTTCAACTTTTGGGTAAGTCAGTGTTGCGATTTTCCAGCATTTCGGAACCCAGATGGACCATAAGATGAAGATTTTTTTAAGTTATTAAAAATAAAGTTTATAGGAAGCTGAGGGTTTGTTATAAGGTTTATTTTGTGTAGATTTCAGCTAGCTAGGTAAGTGTTATTTGAGTGATGTAATAATTTTATGCCATTGCACATGGCATTAATATTTTGGTGCCCAACGTGGGGCACAGTATTTAGTTTTTTATGCGCTCGAATAATACTTGTGAAATTACTCAAAGTTTTAGTTTTTAACCTTTCTAGCGCATTAGCAAGATTTTGTGAAGGAAAATATCGATTTCATGCATACTTATTACTCCGTAAAATGTACACGTCGGCTTTATATAAGCTATGTAATTAGATACCCATTAATCACAAGCCATGTTACATTCAATAGTCGCATCGTTAAGTTTAAACGCTTCAGTTTATCGTTTTTATTAACCCCGTTCCCTTTGATTTAACATTGGCATTTTAATTCTAATTTTTTTAACACACTGTACGCTTTAACTGCCTACATTCTAAACTTATTTCGTTCATGATGTGTGATAAAATTCTTGGTACTCAAATCATTTTTTGCTTACATCATTAAAAAAGCCTTTTGCTCGCATTGTTAGAATAAATGAAATTGTTCTCTGAAACGAAAGGTTTTTAAAGTACATTTTTATTCTTGAATTCATTCAGAAACTGACAAACAAGCCCATTAACAGTTATACTGGTTTGAGAGCACTGCAATTTTAAGCTAATTTAAAGTTAAACGAAGTACTTTACCTACATCATTATTTCTTTCGTTAAATTTAACAAAATTTAATCATGGAATCTTAACTGCTTTGGTAACGCCATAATTTAAAATATGAGCTGTTTTCATGATTTAACCGCTATATGGGCTCATGCATTCATCTACTTAATTTTAAATGGCAGTATATATAAATTAGCGGAGAATTTAAAAATTAAATTCACGCTAAGTTGAAAGTACACAAAGAGTAGCTTTTGTTAAAGAGACGGTGGGAGAGGTGGCCGTGAGATCGCTGCTGGCGGCAGGACAATAACTCGAGTAGCGGAACTGCGGCCAGGATAATGCACCACAGCAGGCTATAAAGAATGACTTGTGATCCAGCCCGGTCGTTAATTATATAACAGCGCCTTCGCAAGGCAAACACAATTATCCTGAGGCCTTTCTATTCTTGCGCACGCTCGCCCGATCTCAAAACACCATCACATTGTAAAATTACCTACATAAAACTTGTAGTGTCAATATTTTCTTAGAAAGCACCCTTCCTTTAATGGACGTATATATAAGGCTTTTCAACCGTGAAAAATGTTATTCCGGAAAAATTTTTCGAGAACGGTTAGCAATATTTTTACCCTCGAGTGTGTTTTATTGCATTCATAATTACGCACTTTTTGTCCCCATTTTACCAAGCTTCAACAGAGTCATGGAATCTGGTAATTGCCACTCCGCGCTTAATCTTCATTATAAGAAATGTCCGTACGTTTTACATTTTTCTCGACCTTATTAAATGGCACTTAAATTTTTCTCTAGTTTAATTAAAATTAGCCGAGTGACTGAAAATGGATTTTATAATACGCTTTTTTGATATCGGAACGAGGAAATGCGGAAGAGTACCGCGTAATAATATATAAAGCGACAGCTTGCATAACAATATTGCCAGAAACGTTCAGATTCGCACGCAGTAATTGTTAATGGTTAAATCTATTTGCGATGAAATCCCCTAATATCTCGATAATTATTCCTCTAATTCTAAAGCGTGAGGGTTTATGTTTGGAGTTTAGAGAGACTATAGACAAGACGTCGACCACAAATTGATAAGAGAATTTCGAAATTCAAATTAACTTTGAAAAATATTGACGCGTATTTATGTTACTGTAGCGCCAATTTCTTATCGCAAGAAAAAATAAAGTGGATGCTCTTAAAATTGAACTGACTAAGACTTTCAAATAAAAGTGATCTTTTGGTGTACACTTTTTTTACGTAAAGCGATATCGTTTAGCGATATCTTACGACAACATCGCAAAAGCATGCTTTGAAAAATGAAACATGTCGAAAATTTATAGCGAACGTATAGCTTCGAGCTATTTTACTATACAAAAATATATCCGAATACATCAAAGTTATAACATAAAGCTTTCCAGCAAATATAGCCTATGAAATGTGGTAAAACTTCCAAGATCTATAAGTTGCAATTAGCGAAATATAAGGAGTAAATTACTTTGACGGTTCTCTTTCTCCTATTATTCGTTTGTCATTATCTTCAGCATGTACTTCAATAGTTTAATCCTTTTATGATCAACTCTAAGATTACGTTTTTGGAATGAAGCATATACAAGCTGACCGTCGATTAAAATTGAAAACATGGCATTTCGAAAGGATGTAAACGAATCGGATTTTTACTACATAAACTACGGTTACAAAAGCTCTCTGCAGACGGGGACAATAGTGGCGTCCAGTAGTACTAGCCATTAATGGAGGCCAGTAATTATCCCTCTATTGTCCTCGTGTGCAAGGGTATTGCCGCTCCAACGTCCAGTAAGCTACTGGCGGCCACCAAAGTCAAACAGGTTTGAGTTTAGTGGACGCTGGGAGGGCTAGTTCGGGTCACGTGACCTAGTGGCTGCCATTATTGGACGTTGCTAAATGGGTACTGGCTGCCAGTGCGTCGCCGGACTCTGCTGGGAGAGGAACTAATTCAGTGTTTTTGTTGCTAAATGTGTCCCAAACCTGAGGAAGTACTTCTGGCATAAAACTAGAAATAGTGTTTGCTGGTATTCGAAACATGATTGCTAGAGTTTGGTAACTGTCACCACTAGCCAAAAATCTTAAGGCAATCTCTAGTTTTGGACGGGCAGGAATTGCGTTTCTCATTAGCGTATCCTTTTTTTTAATTTTAGGTTCAATTAGATTTAAAAGTTTTTTTTTTTTGGGTTGGATCCATCGTTCCTCGAAATGGGGGTTGAAATATATTGTGTGATCAAAACTTGTAAACCTTCCCCATATAGTTAACTATATGGGGAAGGTTTAGAGAGTTTTGATCACACAATAGATTTAAAAGTTCGTTAAATTGTCCCACACTCATGCTTAAAATTCTCTTCAATTCCAGAGGATCCTCCTCGGCAAGTTCCCGAAATATTGTTGACGAAGCTCCGAGGCGATCTCTACGACCCACCCAGTCTTTCACCCTGCACGCCCTGTTTTTGGTTAATTTCTTTCAGTTCATCACTTAAACAATGGACAGTTTCACTTATAGCTTCATCAACACCTTTCTCGTATTCTTCGTCAACCTCCTCCATGTTCAGACACATCATATTGACAATAATTAAATTACAGTAATGTAATAAGGTTGCCCGAAACGTCACCACATCAGAGACTTGTTATAACTAGACCGCGCGTAACGTACATTTTACTATAAACGCCTGTTGTCAAGATAGGATAGGCAACCAACTGTTCATCGCGGGGCAGACGTATGTACGTTCTGCAGCTTGCTT